CTAGTAGGCAGGGCTTTATTCACCATATTGACAGTTACACTTTTCCCCATTCAAAAAGATACGAGTGACCTGTCTTCTGTATTCTATAGTCATTGGTGTCGCTTCCTTTAGCATTATCAACATGCTTTGCACAGCTTGGTGACTGTTTTCTCAGAGGATGACAAACTAACAAAACATTGTTGCAGTTGCGATACAAGTTTAACGTATGGAATGAATTAAAAAGCTCTTGGTGTTTGGGTGTCTTGTGTTAATCTGAGGTAACGGAAATGTGTATATCCCATAGAAAGTATGAAGCTGATCGGTCATATCTTGTTATGTGACTCGCGGGACGACATTCTGAAAAGTTAAAGTTTGTCTGAAAAGAGATGTTTTCAGTTGGGTGCACCTGGCATGCACGTGTGTGCCGCTCTCAATAAGTGCATGCAATCCATGCGCCCCCATTGGAAATAATGGACTTGTGTGCGCAAAAGACCTGATGTGTGAATGGCCTATTTCACGCCAGCATTACAAAGAAGTCTATAATCTATGCATGACAAAACAAATCTGTGAAAACACACGCAACTACTTCTGATATTTGGTCGAGCAGAAAATCGGAGCCTTGCGTTACTTGAGTTTGACGGAGTGCTCACATACCCACACATTTGTTTTGCTGTAGGTCTGTTCTAGAGACAATTCTTAGAGCTTTACTACATGATTTGCATTTTACTTTGTGTTTTAGAGACAAGTTACAGGTCTTTGATAAGGTTCTATTTGTTTTTCAGATTCACAATGTAAACCGATTTAAATCGCAGTATTGTTCAAGAAAATCATTATAGGTTTCTTTTGCCCATATCGCACAGCCCTTGTGTATATTGTGACAAAAAAAAGGTAAAAATGAGATTTCCAATGAAGCTAGATTAGGAAATTTGGTTTCTGTATGAAAGATTGGTTGACAAATAGTACAAGCTGACATACAAAGATGCCCTAGAAGTCATCAAGTGATTGCACAAATAAATAAAACTATGAATATAAAGTCAAGAGAATCCGTTTTGAATTCCTGTTCAATGTTTCAAATCATCTTTGTAACATCCTCAACAAGAAATAAAACAAGTCAATGGGGGAAGTTTAGACACCCCTCAGTTCCATCATTTATCTATGCTATTACCTCTCATGAGGTTCAATCCTTCCCACAAACGTTTGTGCCTCAAGAACACAGCAAGTTGTCAACAGCTCATAAAGCATATGGAAATGTGGGTTGTCATTTTCATAGACAAATTGTTGATTCCTTTCAAGCACCGTTTGGAAACACTAACGGAAAGCATACACAATTGGACAGGTGGCAGCCCAGTGCCTGTTCCAGTAAGTTCTTTAGAGAGTACAGATCTATCAGTCGGACTATTAGTTTGTCCTTTCTGCTGTGACTACCAGTCAAAGTCTTTGTTCGGCTGTTTGAGCCTTGGATACAGGTGACTCACACCTCCCCACCTTTGCAAAGGCAAAAACGCAGCATTCAGGCACAAGATTACCATACTGAACAGGTGTGCAAGTGAGCAAGTGCTGACACGATGTGGGCAGGACTGCCGGGAAGAAACTGTACCAGGACTGCAGAGGGGAGTCGCTGGAAAAAAAAAAAGGACACTCATGAACGGAGTTGTTGACGTGGATCAAATCTCCTGTTAAGGTCGCAGCATGTCACATCCGCACCTTCTAAATGTGTCCTCCGTGTTATTGTCAAATTCAAAGAATTCCAACAGCAACAACAAACACTACAGCTGTAAAGAAGTATGTCTTTGAGGAGGGCTGATTTCCTCTGTTTGTTTTCAGGCAGAGGGAAAGGCATCTCTGCGAGCCTGAGACTTGCACGGTCTGTAGGTCTCTTGAAGGCCAGGGGTGGGAGAGCGCTGTAGTGTTCTCATCCATTATGCTTTTCCCACCATTCTTGTGTGCATGGGAGAGGAAGAGGGAGCAAACATTCATAAGGGTTTCTTACTTTCCCAGGCATTCCTGGTTAGATGTAAGAGACACACTGGCATTCATATCTACTGACCTCAAGACTACAAAGATAAGACATTTTCAGGTAATTTTCTCATATTCTAATGATCCTCTTCGAAAATGGATGTATTTTGGGCTTCAAAGCACAATTGCGTTATATGACAAGTCAATATTTCAAACCAAACCTCAACTATGAATTAAGCAAATCCATCTAAAATAATATAATCAAATTAGAATAAAGACAACTGTTATAAGATAAAACAAATATTTAAAAAGAAAAAATTTCATTAGACTAACAAAATTAAGCTTTTCAGTAGTTGATGCAACAGCAAGATCCCTCAAAACCACACAAGCAACATTTGAACATGGTTCTAGCAGCTGACAAATGGCCCTTTCCGATGATTACTGTCAACACCAGAGAGATAAACATACAAACAAAGAAATATATTTGCTTAAAGCAAAAACTTACAAAAGTATTACCAAAAAGTCCAAACCCCAAAACAGAAACATTTAAGTATTTACTAGAAATGCAATTTTTTCTTCTTTTTTTTTAAAGTCTGAAATATAAAAAACTGAAAAGCACTTTGAACTGATCAGTGTGATCGGCTCTTAAGAGTGAACTGACATTCTCAAATGATGTTTATTTTAAAATTGTGAATAAATACATTCTCTATAACATTTATTCACATTCAGACATTTTTTAGCAATATTTACCTTTAAAAAGTTACTCAAATATATCGGAACATACTGTACAATAGGGTTGTAACAATATACCGGTATGACGGTTTACCACGATTTGAACGTGCACGATTATCATACCATGAACAATTGCATATCAACGGTTTTAACCCTTAAAGACCGAGACAGCCGCCCGCGGCTAAAAATAAGTATTGCTCTTAAATGTTTAATAACTTTTGATCCGCTGATCTGATTCATACAATTCAAAGATTGGCATAAAGAAGAGAATCTCAGCTTTCCAGTGCTGTATCACATACCATTCGCGGACTTTCAGAGGCTCCGGAATCAGTGCGGTTACGTCATCAAAATTTGACAACGCTGATTTGACAAAGAAACGCTCGTCACTGTGTCTCCGGACAAACCAGACATAATACATTGATGCATTGTCCCTCCTCCATGCCCAGATTGGTTCAAACTCGCTATATCACAACCAATAAGCATAGGTTTCACTTTTGTTTGTGGACCAACACTGAGCTTTTTGAACAACACGGAATGAGAGATAGGCTGTACATTTCTGCGCGGCTAAATAAAACGCAAAAAAAAAGTTTTGCATGAAATAATTCTCATACTAAGTACTTTTGCATGCACAGCAGCACAGAAACATGACAAAACAGTGACACAGCAAAGACGAACTGCTGCTCTTGCTGTTTTCAAAAGACACAAATGAAGATGCAGCTGTTTGTCTGCATTGCATACAACCACATCCAAATCCATATCCACAGACAACCATATCCATGCTGGCACATAAAACCTAAGGATGTTCCATATTGAATCTAGTTTCGTTATGTAACTATTTATAGTACAGTAAATATTTATATCTATTTTTTACTGAGGATTTGCAACATGTTTATTTGGACTTTGACACATTATTTATTATTTTTTTATTTGTTCATTGTACAAGTGGACACATTCTCTCACCTCAGCGGTCAAGATTAAGTCCTGAAAATCTCAACATGCTTACATTTCTTCATCACAACCTAGACTGAAAAAAACAACGCTTTAAATACATGTTTACAGCCATAAACTTGGTATTGCACTTTTGGTCTCCCATTTATCCTGCTTATAAGGAAGGACAGTTTAAGTTTATTTTTGTCTAATCTTAAAAGACCCTGCTTGTTTATTCCTTCTAATTTAATTTATTAAAATGGGAGATTTTTCAGTTTATTTTTATAAAAGACTTCTATAGTTCTATTAAAATGGTTCTTTCAAAAGTTTGTTGAAATAAAACCTTTGTTCAGTCAGAAAACATGTTCTTATTCTTTTCAGGGTCTTTGCTATGAGAATTACTATTTAATACCGTATACCGCGAAACCGTCAAACCGTGGTATTGTTTTAGACGATTATCATACCGTAAAAAATTCATACCGTTACAACCCTACTGTACAATAAGGTTGTCACAATACCATAAATGTATGTCACAATACTATAGCAGCTGAAGTGTCATGATACCAAGTAGTATTCAGATACTGTAATTTATAACTCAAATTTATGAAATGAAGCAAACTGTCCGAAATATTATATTTTATATGTTATAATTCTTATATTTTACTATTAATTTAACAAAAAAATATTATTTGTGTTATTTGACATTTGCTGTTTTATTTAGTGACATTTCCACATGCAGAATTAACCTTTGTGGAACCATTAATGAAGATACTACCATTTACAAACTACAGTGACATCAGTATTTCTTACGGTACTACCATAGTATCAGTAAACCATGCAACTCTACTATAGAAAATGTGCATTACCCAGTAACTCATTAAGTTAAAATGGTCATTGGGTAATGGCTATATTCTGTCCATTTATCTCAATCTATTACTTGTATAAAACATTACAAAATGTCATAAATCACCAAACTTCACCAGCAATCACAAAGAAAAGGTTAAGCTTCAACAGTGCAGTATTCAAAACTTCACTTTTTTCTGGATAATATTCCAATGAATAAAGGTCATTGTTTTCATACCCTACTTTATTATCAGGACCCTCAACCTTCAGCTACTGTCAAAACCTTTGATGAATTGGTAGACAGTCTCTCTGAACACAACATAGATTACACTAACCAAATATTGACCTGGCAAGACCCTGCCAAACAGACAGCCCTCCAGTTCCCAAGCAAAGCAAATGGTATCCTTTCATCACTTAAATGCTAAACTCGCATTAATCTTAAGCAAGCATTCAGTTTAACCATTCATTCAAATCCAATGTGAAGAAATCTTAAAGCCAGCACATGTGAAACCATCAGAAATGTGAAACCATCAGAAAACCTTAAATCTCAGCTCAGTTCTTACCTTTCTGGCAGTGGTTAGAGGTCCAGCAGCGATAACTGTAGTTGTCATTGAAACTGGTCCTTATGCAATGCGGTCTATCCTCATTGATGCCTGGACAAACATCTCCGCATTCTTTGGACTGCTTGTTTCCAGCGATGTAGTTGTTAAACTCTGCATCCATAAGGAGTGACCAGTCAACCGAATCCAAGTAGCACAGCTCTGGGTTCTTTTCGATTCGGATGGCCCCTCTGGTGATGTTCCTCAGGTTATACAGACCGATATCTTTCAGGCTGGTCATTTCGAAGATGACCAGGGCGTAGTTGTAGAATAGATTGCGTCCTCGGATGACGTTGAGGTTAGGGAAGAGCACACTCAGGCTGTCCAGACCGGAGACACGGAACAGGAGAATGTAGTCCGTTACCATGGTCAACTTGGGGAAGGACAGTGTGCGAAAGTGTTCCTGGTTGAGGTTGTTGTTCTTGTCTCCAATAAGGAGAATCTGCAGGTAGCCTTCCACCACCGTGCAGTTTTCCAGCTTCTTGAACTCAGTGATGTCATTGCGGATATCAATATGAGGACCACAGACTGAAACAAAAAAAATACAATTAGATTAATATAATGAAATTTAAACTTGTAAGGTTTCTAGGGATGCACCGATATTGAGTTTTTGACCAATACGTTTACCAATAAATCTGATTAATTAGGCCCATAGCCCATATTTTAGCTGAAACACATTTTCTGCGCATTTCCTAAACAAAAGGCATTTGATTTCGAAAAAAAAAGTTCGAACTGATCTTTGTTGAACTTTCTTAACTAACTATTTTTCTCTATGGCCAACTTTCTTTATAAATAAAGTCTACTGCGTAACAACAAACAAATGCATCAAGCAACCAAGTAACCAAGCATTAGCCAATATTAAAATACCAGTAAAATATCTAGAAAAAAGGCAGGCAGCAAGCACAAGAAGTGGTTCAACAAGCGGAAATAATACATAATTTATCAGCTTAAAGATATTGGCATAATTAAAAAAACACATTAAAAATAGCATTTATCTGCCAATATACATATGGATGATAATATATCATGCATCCCTATAGAAGTCAAACATATCTAGATAAACAGTATGTTATTCAGTCTTACTATCGATGAGATATATATAGGGCGTACTCACACTATATACGCTTGCCTTGAACCATGCCGAAGCTCGTTCGCGCCTGAGCCCAATTTAGAGCACTCACACCTCTCAAAAAAATCGGAAAACACGCATGGGAATGGTTTGAATAGCATAGTGTGAGTGTGCCCTTAGTCAGAGAATTACACACTTCTGAAGGTATAATGCTAACTCACGGCAATTTACAACTTTTTTATTTAGTGGCTAATTTGTATGAATTTGTACTACCTTATTCACACAATTTAGTACAATTCCCCAATGACGGTAGGGTTTAAGGGTGGGGTTGGGTTCCATGCCTCCTTTTAAAAATCGTATATTTTTGTACAACTGAACTCAAATTCATACAAATTAGTAGAGGTGTGAACCTACACTGGTCTCATGGTTTGGTTTGGTTACGATTATCATGCAATCAATTCGGTTCAATTCGATATCTCTGTGCGTCACGGTGCATTGATGATGCTTTCCATACACAGTTTTATATTATAATTCACAGCAATTCTTGTATTAAAATATAGAAATATATTAATATTTATATATTATTTGTCATACAATTTTGTCCTTTAATTCAGTCAGACTTATAAACTATACATTTAAAAACTCAAGTACATGCACAGAACAACATGAGCATTTATAGCAAATAAACATATATAAATATACCGCTCGCTTTCTGAGCATTGTCTAGCGAGTTCTTTCTTACACTCCTATAATTGGTCACATGCTCAACAGAAAGGGCTGCGATTGGCTCTAATGCTCTGGCACTGTTCCCCGACGAGTGACACTAATAAACAGCAGTGGCGATCACAGGTGATCCATGATAGACGTGGAGGAGAAAACTTGCTATGCAGACAAGCTTGTGTCTGTATACATAAGTATCGCTGTAACAGCCGAAATGGGAAGAAACTTTACCTCACGCCAGTAGGTAAAAGGGCCACAGCGAGAGAGAGAGAGAGAAATGTTTACGCTTAGTTTCTTCTTCAACAATGAAACAGGGGCTTCTGCTGTAAGTGGCAGTGAAAGACTGTCCAGCAAACACACACGCAGTAACTTGTGCACAGTTTCTGTCTGTGTTTTTAAGTAGTTTGAGCGTTTTAAATACTCATTCGCCTCCCTTGCCATAGTACACTACTGCGACATAGCGCATGTGAGACGAATGACATCAGTACACTAGATATGATTATAACTGAACCGATAACGAATTGTCTGCGTCTGCATCGCAGTGCACCGAAGAAACTATTAATTTTGACACCCCTACAAATTAGCTACTAAACTGACAATAGTAAAATAGTTACTTTTCCTCAAGAGATCAGGCTGGAAGGTCACAACTGACAAATCAGAATAAGGGCTGGGTGAGTAATCGAAATGCAATTACAACTGCAATTGAGTAAAGTTGCCATAAACATGTTGTCAGGGAAGCACGGTTCTGTGTTCAGTAGTAAATTTCCTTTGAAAGAGAGGGTACTCTTGCGGAAAACTGCAGATAAGCTAAGAAGAAAAAACACAGGAAATTCTCATAGCACTGCATTATTTGATTCCTTCATTGATTCAGCATGATTGAAAAATCACACGACTATGAAATCATCTTACAGAAAGATTTATTTCAAATGCTCGATTGAAGTTATGAAGTGATTTTGGATTACAAACATATTATATTTGGTATTTAAATATGCAGAATGTACCACGTAGGGCCGTAGTTCATTGTGATCCTACGCAAACATCTGTCATAATCACAAAATATTTATCTTGATGTCCTTATAGTCCGATTAAATTAAGTTGAATTTGAACATGAACATGATTAATCGCCCAGCCCTAATCAGAACCAAATATTGCAGTGAGAGTAAAATATTAACATTTATTCTATTTTAAATGTTAAATGCCTAAAAAAAAGCATGACTTAAGTGAGGCTAATGTATCCGATGTCACTTGTGATGAGCGGGGAACAGTGGAAATATAATCTGGGAACATGCTCTTAATTTACAGTAGCTTTGAAAGGGATCTGCAGAGTTATCCAATATAACCCCATGGACACCGTAACGCTCCCAGAATTAGGACTGACTGTGTTGTCACTTCACATCAACATGAAATGCAAACTGACTCTGTTATTGCATGGTCTGGTTGTGTGCAACTTCTGTAAGATCTGCAAACTTTAATTAAAACATAATAACTTTCTTTTCATATGAAACTGTTTTTCATTACCCTCTGACATTTTTCTGATCTAATTCAGGCTAAAAAAAAGAATGCAGAGGTGCAAAATTAAATGACTTTAAAACACTTTGAATGACTGAAATGGAAGGCATTCTGATTCCTATTCATGGGTATATAAATAGAAAGGCACATTGGATTAGTCAAAATTGGATGAACAACCTATGCACGAAACACACACAAGCGCTTGCAAATCAAATAAATTTAATTCATCACAATTCATTACCCTCTGCAATACAGATTAGGGCTACACAATATATAGTTTCAGCATCCATATCGCAATGTGAACCTTCGCAATAGTCACATCTCACTATTCTATCATTTTGCAAGTGTTTTTTAAGGCCTCGGACTGTGTGAGGGTTTTAAAAGTATTCAGACCTAAGAAATTGTACTGTTTTTAACTTTGACAAATTAATAACGATCAATTCTATTGAATCGTTTATAAAACAAAGACTATGCAGTATTATTTTACATTTGATTATTCAATTCTTCTTGAAAAACAATAAATTTATGTTCATATAATTGGTATCTTTTTCTTTATTGAATTTTATGGATATGCACTCCTGTACAAAATCATCCCAATCAATCTAAAATTATAAATTCTTTTCAAATATTTATTCAACACTCAATCAAGTAAATATGTATTCATATGGCAATATTTCGCAGAATAAAAAATAAATATATATATATTTTTTTTGTAAAAAAGCAATGTTAGATTTTTCCAATATTGTGCAGTCCTAATACAGATATTGTATACACCATTATCGCAATACTATAATTTTTCGATATTTTATGGACCTCTGATTTATATCGGGCCACAATTTAGTATGAGACAACACCATTTCACAATTCAGGTGGAGGTTTTTTGCCTACAACATCCTTTATAATATATTCTCACTGAAATTACAGAAAAGTGTGGGTGTAAAATTGTCTACATGAGATGTTAGACATTCTATTATACAACCATCATTCTAATTATTAATTTTTTAAACTTTTTTCTCACATAAACTGTTCGTTTAATCATGTTTAATTTTTCATGTTTTAAAACTGAAACATATTCAAGCATTAATTGTTCACAACAAGAAAATTGTAAATCATGAATTTAGTTTTTTCCTTCCATTTCAACTTTACCCATCCAACAAAGGCTATGTTTCCATCCAAAAATGTGAATTAAATTTATGAGCAAAACTGAAATATTGCATAAAAGACATGCAAATTAAGCAGTGTTTCCATCCAAAGAGTCAAAGAGAACAAAATCATCACTTTCTAATTAACTGGCACCAAATATCAACAGTAAAAACTAAATTTGCTGCAGTAGGAGAAGCTGCAAGAATCTTTTCTCTATTTAATAAATTACTTGCACCTCAGAAGACGATGCCAACACGCAATGAACAATTGGTGATGTTTAAAGACGCGACACAGATACTAGACAGTTCTGGAGGTAATTGAAATATAAAAACACCAATACTGAAATGGTAAAGATATTTTAGAATAACCAAAACAACATTTCAGATGTTTTACAGTCTGCGCAGCCTGCTGATTTGTCATTTGACAACATTTTTATTATCACATGACCTCTTATAATAAAATCATATGACTAATGTGCATACTTGAATTTGTTCGGTAAAAGTGTTTCCATCATAGTTCATGCTCATCTTTTGGGTGGAAACACAGCTATTGTCCAAATTTGACTTTGTAATACAAAGGCCAATGTCAAAACTCCGGCAAGATAACACAGTCAAACTCAAACATTAGCAAAATGCTAACAAAGGGGACATTTCCATAGGTCAAAAAGATTTTCATACTCGTTACATTGAGAACTTACACCATGGTAACCAAACAAATTGTACAGTGACCCCTTCCCCCCAGGTTAAGGCTGTGTCCTAGAAGAGGAAAGAGATCAGCAGAAGAATAGTCTTGACATATGAGCTCCTTTGGCTAAACCTTTTATGTTCTTAGAGAGGCTTAGGTCACCTTCTCTGATAGAGACAATATCACAGGGCTTCTATGAGACAAATGGAAATGTTTCCCCCTGCCACGTGTAAAAAAGCAACGGGACCATGACGGCCCAGAACACGCAGTCCAAAACAGAAACAACATTATCAATCTCACTTTATAAAAGAGATTTAAATAGCCCACAGTGAGAAGGCAACGAACGCAGGAAGGTTAACATTTCAACAGTCTCAGATTGCCTACTGTGCATTATTCTGACAGG